TGAAGCTTGAAATTCTGCAGTCCAAATTCCACCGTTTTATTATGGAGCAATCGGATGGTCGCTTTATGGAGTCATCTAAAGTTATTCACAAATAATGTATTAGCATGTGTCCTACAATAAATATACATTGGACATGTGTCAATACATTAAATGATCGATGACTCCATAAAAAAAAAAAATCATTCGACGACTTTATAGAATTTTTGCCAAATTTCAATGGTTCTGCACTTGTTCCCTCTCTCAAAAGATTCAAATTTTAGGTAGTTGGATTATTAAATACCACATTTATCAACATTATTTCCAGATGGCTTTGGTTGAGCTACCAATTGAAATTGTATCAATTTTTATGGACGCACTTTAAAACAGGCAGTATTCTAATTAGCACTTTGAATCAGACCCAAATATTATAGCTGAATTCCTAAATACCGCACCCATTTTATTAATACCGCACTCTAAAAATACAGTTTTGCCCTTTACACTTATTTTATTTAAAAAAAAAATGTCCCCCCTTCTAACCTATTTATCGGCCGAACCGAGCACCGAAAAATTCCGAAAGCACTTCCAAATAATTTCGACGAAAAAATGTTATCTGACAAGACCGGTCATGCGGCGGCCGGCCGGTCAAACCGGCCGGGCTGGAGCCGGTCTTTTAATTTTTTTTTATTTTTTTTCTGAATTCTTAAATACCGCACCTATTTTATTAATACCGCACCCTAAATAGATAGTTTTGCCCTTTACTCATATTATAATTACCGCTATTCTAAGACCCAGTATGATGGTTAAGCGATCTTATACCTATTAGGCTTATTTTCGAGAAAATTACGCACTTTACTATAATATTCTTTTTTATTTGTAAAAAATTATTCGTTATATAATTATTTGCAACATTACTGACGTTGTTATATTTATTTACAAAGAAGCTAAGATTTTATCTTTATGGTAGATAGCTAATGCGGAATTTTTTGGAGTATTAGTCAATCTGTTTTCATAACTGACTATCTATGTTTATGGTAACTTGTTTATAATCATAACATTCTCTCTCACAACTCATCAACCGCCCACTAGTTCTCAACTTAAAAAAAAAACTTCCGGCGACGCGAACAATAGAAAAAAAAAACTAAAATATCAGAAAAAGGCGAGCCATGGGATTCCGATTTTGAAGACGAAATTGAAAGCGAAGGAGATGAAATTGAAGAATTTTCCAGTGATGAAAACAACGAAGAGCATCTGAAGGATTTGAAGAGACAACCATTGACACCGGCGACAGTGCATCCATTCTCTCTTCCTTCTCAGCGGGGAGATCAAGTTGGAGATGACAAATGCGAGATCAAAGTTCATGCTCATTATGTTGTCTACAGTATATGTTGTGTTTATATGTAGTATATATTTAGTATACGTTTCCATACGGCAGTTTGCCTGTGAGAAAGAAAAAAAAAATGTGCAAACATTGATATCGAAACTTTAGAATGGGCAATATATTTTGAGTATGTAGACAATATATTTTCAGTTTATAGACTTTTTAAGTTTTGTATATTAAAAGATTTTAATACATATGATATGATATATATGTTTCAATTTTGATTTGATGTTTATTCATAATTTATTGATCATGATGTTTTCAACATTCATCCATACTAATCTGAATATTGTACTGTTTGTACATGGATTATATAAAATTATACGCGTACATATTAAGTATATAACACGATTATGTTATGTATATGTGCATGAATGATAAACTTACAGCATACCGGATTGCAACTTTGTAGGTGTTTCAAGACTGTATATGTGATGTTTATATATTGTATATAACACAAAAGGTAAACAAAAAACAGAGTTTCGGAAAAAAAAAAGATTTCTTTTGTATATTTTACGGTCTTAGATCATCAAGATAACTAGTGTGTGGCCCGTGCCATGCATGGAAAAATAATATTACGATTTCGATATAAATTAAATATACAAATAAATTAATCAAGATTTACACATCGTTTTGAATTAAAATGTGTTTAACACGGTGAATGGATTGACCGAGAACAGATTTATAACCAGTCTAGTTCAGTTGAATAAAATATTTTGTTATTGATCTGTCAACACCAGTCGGTTGAACTGGTAGGATCGATACGATTTTTAAATAAATTTTGCTACGTTTAAAATTATTTTAAATAAAATTACATATTTAAAAAAAAATAAAGATTTATAAATTGTTTATCAATTAGTTTAAATATTTGAAATTTAAAATTGTTTAGATATTTAAGTAACATATTTTATTTAAATTTATTACAAAAGTATAGCATATTTTCAAAGAAAAAAAATTAAATTTTATTATTTTTAGAAATCAAATTGTATGATTATATTAAAATGTATTTTTAAATTAATTTGTATTATTTTTAAAGAAAAAATAAGAAAAATAATAAAACTAC